AGAGGGAGGAAGAGGAGAGAGGGAGGAAGAGGAGAGAGGGAGGAAGAGGAGAGAGGGAGGAAGAGGAGAGAGGGAGGAAGAGGAGAGAGAGGCGAACCTGCGGAGAAAGGAGTTAGAGACAAGAAGGTCCAAACACCAAAAACACACAAATCGGTTGCCCCCGACTGGTTGGGTACCCGCGCGAGACGCCCCCATAAAAATGTCTCCCCCGCGCCCCCCCCCCCCCCCCCCCCTACCCACCACACACGCACACACAAACGCTATACCTATACGGCCGCAGACCCTCCTTCCTTCCCGCACACGCCCTGTCCGATGGTGCGGGAAGGCGCCTGGGCGGGGAGGGCCCCAGGTTGTGAAGGGCGGCGCGTTGCTCCTTCTGCTGGCCTCCCCGGCCGACGTGCGGCGCCCCCGGCGCCTTCCACTCCCGTCCCTGTCCCCGTCCCGGACCCGGCTCCCCCCACACCAGCCCGAGAAACCCCCCGGTGGCCGTCGGGCGGACACGAAGCTCCCTCCCACTCCGGCGTTTATATATGCACCCTGTCCCGGCCGGTGCCCGCACCGGGGAATCACCAGCAAGACATGACACAGAGGCCTCGCCCCTGGGTGGGAAGGGGAACCGGGAAACCGCCGAGACGAGAGGGCAGGCGAAAGAGAGAGAGAGAGAGAGAGAGAGGGGGAAGCAGAAAGACACGGAGAGGTCAGAAGGCTGCGGCCTCGCCACCGCCCCCGACCGGGGGTGCTCTGGCGACGAGCTAGCCTCTACCCCCTTCCCCTGCTATTACTGGCCAGGCACGTTCCTCCCCGCCCCCGGCTCGGGGGCGCTAATTTGAAAATTAGCTTTTCAAAAAAAAATAACTCCGACCAGGAATGCCCCGCCCCGCCGCCGTAGCCCCCACCGGAGCCCCGCCCTCCGCGTCCCGGAGACACTTGACCGCGGGCTTGCGCGGGTGCTTTGGCCCACCGGTCCCCGGGGGGGGGCAGGCAGCACGCGCCTCGACATGCCCGAGAAGAAGACGCCCGGCTCCCCCTCGGGCCCGGCTCTTGGCACACCGAGGACCGGCCGGGCGAGAGGCGGCTACCGGGGGCCACCGGGAGCGCCCTGAAGGGCCGGCCCGGCCTCGAGCGCCTGGGCGGAAGGGGCCGGCGCACGGCGACCTCAAATCATCGCCACAGGGCCCACACAGGGGGGAGGGGGCCTGGAAGGAGACGCCTGGGCAACGAGGGGCCAACGCCAGCGGCCGCTGTCCAGGCCCTGTGGCGCGAAGGCTCGACCGACCATTGTTCCCCCTCTCCGGCTCCCGGGCGCCGTGGCCGGGGCTCCTCACACAACCCGGTGAGAGGGGAGACAAGAGCAAGGAGAGCCGGTGCCAGAAACACGGCGCTGGAATTCGGCCAGCCTGCACTATTCTCGACCCCTGCTGGCCGACGATGCCCAAAAACGACCCTGGCAGAGAGGGCCTCCTCTCTGTCTGTCTCTCTCTCTCTCTCTGCCCCCCAGGGGGGGACGACATCGGGGGAGACCTCGGGCCGTTGGCCAGGCTCGGCGGGGTACTTGCATTAGCTCCTGTGTGGCTGCGCGTGCCAAGGAAACAAACAAGTCCACTTGACGGTGGCCGCCCCCCCCCCCCGGCTTGTCCGGAAACGCGGCCCGCCGATCGGGTTAGGCCATCCAGGGGGAGGGGGGCCGAGGGCCGGAAATACAAGCCGCAGCGTCCGCCGCCACATCACAGCGAGATGACGACCACCGGCCGGCGAAACGAGTCCCGGGAGAGCCGCGCCAGGGGCGGGGGGGGGGCTGGCGGGGGAAACAAAAGCACCCGAACCCCTGGCTGTTCGGGACGCACACGCTCTTACGCACACACACACACACACACACACATGCACGCTCGCACCTCCGGCGGGAGAAATACAACCGGCCCTCCAGCGGAAGTGGGCGGGTGGACGCCGGACCCCGCTGGCGCGCCAATGTGAGGCCACATGCCGACCCCTCCCCCTGGCGGGGAAGGCCGTTTCCAGAGAAACACCCCTCCGTGAGGGCCCACACATACACACACACACGCACCCGGGCACACACAGACAAACACACACACACACACACACAGATACGGAGCACACCCCCCCCCCTTGGAAACGACTAGCAGCGAGAGGTGGGGAACACCCCCGCCCTTAGGGCGTGCGGCGCGGACGCAGCCCGGCCTGCCGTGGTGGCCGGTGAATGGGATCCCCGAGAATGAAGCGCTCCCGGCTGGACATTTGGGGCGTGGTGGGTGCTTTGTGCGACGGTCGGGCGGGGGGACCCAGATGAATGGGGGGAGGGGCGGCTTTCGGCCGGGGGCGTTCGAACGCATGCGTGCGAGTGTGCCCTCGCGCGCGCGCGCGCGCGCCCACTCGCAACAACAAGCACCCCTGTCGCCTGTGCCCGTGGGAGTAGTCTCTAGACGAGGGCCTTCCCTGGAGTGTGCGAGGCGCCGAGACTCGGGGGCATCGGCGAGCGCACCTTGCCACCGCCTCGGAGAGGCCGAGCAAATGCCCGGGCAGGCAACGGAAAGCCGCGCCCGCCAGCAGGCCGGTCACAACCGGCGTCCAGAAGGCGGGACCTCGCCAGTCACTGCGCAAGTTCAACCCCCCCTTGCGCCCGGTCCCCGCGCGCGCTCGCTCGCTCCCCCCCTCCCCCGTGCCCCTCTCGCCGTCGAGGGGAGAGCCCCCGGGCGATCGGCCCCGCGAGGAGGCAGCCGCGGGCGCCGGCGGCGCCCCTAAAAAATATGGGTCATACGAGGGGCGCCCCATAGCGCGGATGGCCATTGGTCGGGCGGGAAAATTCCGCCCGGGAACGAGTGCCGAGGGGCGGCGCGCCGGACACGGGGGCCAGGGCGGGGGGCGGAAGGGGGGGGGGGGCGGGGACCGGAGTGGGGTACCCCGTTCCCCCCTCTGGACTGCCACACCAACATGCCGCGCTGGTGGCCACTGGCGCGGCCGGCAGCCCCGGACCGGTCCCCGTAAACTCGGCTGAGAGAGCGAAAAAGATGTCTTTTTTATTACGCGCCCAAGTAGGTGACGCACCTTCACCACGTTATCCTCTCGGCCTTGTGAGCCCGTTTTTCAACCCGAGGCAGGGGCCACAAACAAGAGCGCGGGGGGGCAAACGTCCCCAAGTCATGTAGGCTCCCCCGGGGGTGTATGAGTTCCGAAAAGCGGCAAGGGGGAACGGGGCAGGCGCGCTGAGACCCCCCCCCCCCCCCCCCGGCTGCCCTGGCGTTGGCCCTCTGCGTTCAGGCGCGGCGACCGGCACGCCACGCGTCGTAGCCCTGGCGCGGCGTCCGCCCCTGACCCAGGCTCGCCCGGCAACCAGGGCACAGCCGAAAGGCCAGGGGGGGTAAACTTAGGGCCGGCGGCCACGCCTTTGCCGGCCTTGTGCCAAGGCTAGGGGCCTTCAGCCCGTTCCCCCCCCCCCCGGTGGGATGGTGTATTGTGTGTGTCTATGAGGTCGTCGACCGGATGTGGCCTGCTCCCTCCGGGCGTTCTCCGCCTCGGCGGGGGAGTTCCCCTGGCGCCTACTCGCGTGCTCATACTTGCCCGGAAGCCGCACACCATCGGAATGCCGGAGGAATGCCCCTCCTAATCCAAGCAAATTGCGCCCCCCGGGGCGCCGGTGTTTCACTGGGACCGCGCTCGGGCAAACGGCCTGAGCGACCGGCGCCTCCGGCGCCCTTTTCCGCCTTTCGTCCCGGCCCGCGGTGTTCCCTCATCATCGCCCCCGGTGCGTCTGGACGTTCCTCGGTCTTGACAGCTTGCATGCTCCCCCGCTCGGGTTGTTCGCTCCCGTCCCTCCCCCCGGCCCCCCCCCTCGCTCCCCGCTGCCCACGACCCGGAAAACGCGAAAGCCCCCGCCGGACGCCGTCCGTCTCGACCATTCCCTCCCGAGTGGACCCCAGCCCGGATGCCCCGCCTTCCGGCCTCCCCCCCCCCTTTCAGCTGTGGCTTTTATCATTTCACGGATGGCCTCCCTGCCCAGCATTTCCGGAGGGCAGGCCAACGCCCCCTTTTGGCTCGCATTTCCACGATCGCCGATCACGACACCGACATCACGGATGCCAAATCAATTGCACACATGACATCGCGGGAGAGGTGCCAATGGTCGTGGCCTCAGTCTAGGGGTCTGTATTGGGTGCGCTTTCAGCCCCCCCTCCCCCTCGCGGAAAGGGGGGAGGGATGAAAGCGGGAGAGAGAGAGAGAGAGAGAGGAGGGGGGTGAGCCCGCTCCTATGTGCCTCGGTGTACTTTTGCCAGCGAACGGACAACCGGGGGCCGAACGATGGGGCAGGCAAGGGGCCGCGCCAGCGCGTCAGAGAGCATCCCCCCGAAGAGGGAACGGGGGAATGGCGACGATCTATATGGGCACGAGCGCACGCCGAGCGGCCGCGCCCCCTGCGCGTGCCTCCATCCTTCGCACCGTTCTTCTCTCGGCAAATGTCGACAGCGTGGCGGCGAGGCACAGGGAGGAGGGAGGAAAGAGACAAATATGGGACACAGTAAAGGGGGAAGGGGGCAAGGACAAATGTGTGTGTGTGTGTGTGTGTGTGTCTGTGTGCGTGTGCGCGGAGCAGGTGGGAGGAAAGGGGGCCATCCTTGGTAGGAAGGACATGCTGATTGTCATCCGTGCGGAGGGGAAGTGGGCAGCAGCAGCAGCAGAGGGAGGGAGGGGAGGGGGGGGGGGAGATGGGAGAGGGATATACATCACGACCCACCAGCACGCGCTCGGAGAGGAAGATAGACGCGCCCCTGGGGGTGGTGAATGAGAGAAGCGAGCCCCTGGCCCGTCTCCCGGGACTCCTCCCGCCGCCCCCCCCCTGCTCCGGGTGAGACTCGCCGATGGCTACTTCTGGATGGGAGGGTCGTCGTTTTCCTCGAAGAAGACGCTCGTGTCGGTCGTAGACTCGGCCGCCGAGGAGGAGGGCTGCTGCTTCGAAGCCACGGCATGCGGGGCGGAGTCCAGCCAAGTGGGGTCCAGCATGGTGCCCAGGTCACCGGAGCCGAACATTCGGCCGGCCCCCGCGCCGGGGTTACTCGGATCATACGACCCCCCATCAAGGAGCGAGGACATTTTGCCTCCGCGAGTGAGGAGCTGCAGCAGGGGGGCACTCATCGGCGGCGAGTCCGGCGACAGGGAAAACTCCCCGGACAGTTCGCTCGCAACGTGGGCTCGAGCTGCCAGGCCAGAGGTGGGCTCATCTGCATGCGAGTGATGGTCGCCCGGCGAGGTGGCCCCATCGCAGGTGTCGCGCGGCTCGGCCACACCATCCTGATCGCTGCCAGGCACAGGAGTGCCCGCGGCCGGGGGGGTGTCTCGGCTCTCAGCATCGGACGCGGGGGGATTCGGGTTCAAGCTGTCCCAGTTGAGAGCATCGTGTACCCAACTGGACGGAGCACGCCGGGGGAGGACCGCCGCGCGGTTGCTGATGAACATGTCGTCCGGGTGCAGGCGCACCGCGCATGGCAGATCACTGGCATGCAGGCCACACCGAACGCACAGGCCGGCCGACAGGCGCTCATGATACGTCCGCGAGGGGATGGACAATTGGCCGTTCATGAAGTAGATGTTGAAGTCCGCGAGCAAGGTTGGACAGGTGGTGCTCGAGGGATGCTGGAAGCAGAAGGTACACACGGATGACCGGGTGTATGGCGATGGAGGGAGCTGGAAGCGCAAGCGCGCGTCGTGGGATTCCGTCAGCAGACGCAGGCGCAAGCGCGGGTCCATGTTGAGAGCCGGGTTCCGCCGGGGATGGGGAAGATGCAGCTCATCCGGCGGGAGGTAGGGCAACCGCGGAACCGAACTGCCATGGACCACCGGCAGGGCGAACTCCTCACGCAAGGTGGTCCCCTGAACCAGAGGGCACGGCCGATCCGGCGGGTGCGTGCCACAATCCATGCAGAGGTTCTCCACCCAGCGCCGGGCATACTCGAAGAGGAGATTCGGCTGCACGGTATCCGAGCCGGTGGGAATGGGCCGGCGTCCGCATGCCGAGCAGGGCAGCAACGGCGCACCATGGCACTTGCCACACAGATGCGCCCCGAACAGCCGGGGGAAGTACTCCACCACATCCCAATTGACCAGATTATCCGGGCGAGTTGAGCGCCGGGCGGAGGCTCGCGCTTCGGAGATGGTTCGCGCCACATTGCTCGACAGCGGGGTCTCCCGGTGATTGAGCTGCGGCTTGATCGGGTACCGCTGGCGCATTGGACAGGGGATGGAGGATGAATGGAGGCCGCAATTGATGCACAGGCCGTAGCGCTGTCGGCGGGAAATTTCCCCGGGCAACTGCTCCCGGTGTTGGTTCACGGCGAGGGTACCCTCACGCAGGAGCTTCGGACAGAGCTGATCCGCCGGGTGGGAGCCACAGTAGGTGCACAAGAGGGAGAAAATGCGCCGGTGGCGCTCGGCCGTCGAGAGACTCATACGCCCGGGGAACAGGCTGGATGGCACGAAGTTCCCCTCGACACTGGCCATCGACCGACGGTGATGGGGACAGGGCTCGGTGATGGGATGCCCGGCGCACATCAGACACACCCGAGCCCGAACACGGGCCTCCATCTGCTGCCGGGTCAGGGACACCGTGCCGTAGATGAAGATCTGCCCCCGGCGCAGGAGCGATGGGCACACCTCATTCACGGGATGCCCGCCGCAGTAGGGACACAGGCGCTGCTGCAGGCGCAGGCGCTGGTGGAATGGCCGGACCTTCAGCACTCCAGCCTCATTGGTATACATGTGGCGATAGAAGTGCGGCCGGCAGAGCTCCTCCTTCGGGTGCATGCCACACCGGGGGCAGAGCCCTTCGGCGGCCCGCTCGCGTGCCACCTCCGGCGTCACAAAGAGCACTGGCCGCAGGTTCGAACGAAGCGGCGAGTCGGCCAGGGGATTTGAGTGGACCAGCAGCCCGAGGGGGTCTTCCTCCAGGGCGGCGGGATATCGCCGAGGGCAGGGCAGGCTTTCGGGATGGTCGCCGCAAAAGGCACACAGGGCGGCCTTCTGGCGTCGGGCCATCTCCTGTGCCAGGAGGGGGGCCGTCGAGGGCGGGGTTCCATATGGACAGGGGGTGCGGCTGCTGTGCGTGCCGCACAGGAGGCATCGCCCGGCGGCCAGGCGGCTGGCCGTGGTGGCGGAGGTGATGAGCATCTGTTCCCGCGGCAGCCGGTGCGTCGGGTCCCAGGTGGTTGGCAGTGAATCGGGGCGCTCATATCGAGAGGGGGTGCCTTCAGCTCGACGAAGGAGCGAGTCACGCGACTCGGGTAACTTGCTCGGTGCCAAGGTGGTGAACATGGTCAGGAAGTCCGGCGCGTCGGGCGGACGGACAAGCCGGTTGGGGAGGGAGGCCGACCCAGAGCTGGACGGAGTTCTGCGCACATTCGTCATCATTGTAGGCGTGGTCATGGCATGAGGGGGAGGGGGGATGGGGTCAGATCGCGCGGGGCATCGGCCCAGCCGGAGACCGGTCCGTGAGGGCGGGAAGAAGGAAGAAGAGGCAAAGAGGGCAAGGGAAAAGCAGGTGGGAGTGACACGAACGGGAAGTTGCCTCGGCGGCCAAAGGAGCCAGCAAGCCAATGTGAGCTCGAGGACCTGCTGGCATCTTTGTTGGCACCACCGCTGCCACGCGAGTCGGATGGCGGATTGCTCGCATTGGGAAGAGCCCTGCCGGGGGGCAGCGACGCCGGCGTCATAAAAGATCGTCCACTAAAGTGCCGAGCGCCGGTCACAGAGGGACCAGTCAGCAGGACATGCACCGCGGCCGGCGCCGGTGGGGGGGACGTGTGCAAGGCGCGAGCATGGGTGGCCAGGGTCCACATCGGGGGGAGGAGGAGCTCGTCAAAGGGGAGAGGAGAACGCCTTTAGCGGCTTCCAGCCTCGAGCTGAGGAGCGGGCAAGGACCAGGTCAGCTGGCTGTGGCCTCCAAGCCCAAAAAGGTGCGTGTTCACACGCACATACACGCAGGAGGCCGAGCTAAGACAGGCCTTTGTGCGTGCGTCGGTGCGTGTGTGTGCGTGTGTGCGCGCGGGGGGAGGAGGGGAGAGGCAAAGGGAGAGGGGGCGGCAACATACAGCAAGAAAGGTGGCTGGCGTGTGTGGTCCGCAGAGGTGCTGACTCAAGGGAACAGGCCGCTAACGGGAGGACTGCCTTGGCGGAAGGTACAGCAGCAGCGCAGAGGGTCAGAGTCCATGGGGCCGGTGTGAATATGGTGGTGGTGGTGGCGGTGGTGGTGGGGGTGGGGGGGGGGCGAGGACGATAGGGGGGTCGCTCGTGGCCAATGCCGCACCCATCAAAATCAAAGAGAGACGAGACCCACAGAAGGGGAAAGCCGGGGCGAGATGCACACAGGAGGTGCTCAGGCCCGCACGGAGGTCGGCAACAGCGATCGGGCTCGCGGGCGGGCGGTCGTGCTTGGCACAGGTCCGGGAGGAGGGCAGGGGGGAAGAGCGCAGCCGGAGAAAGAGCAAGGAGGGGGCCGCAGGAGCAGGAGCAGGAGGAGAGAGAGGGCGACAGCTGCAGGTGCGCTGGGGGGGGGGGGGGGGCCCGGGGGGTTGCAGCTGTTGGTGCTGTTCCGGCGCCGGAGGCCGAAGCG